GGTCTCTGAGTGCTATTGACACCCTTTTCTCAACGAGAAGTCGGGGCTCGGGAGAGCCTGAGTGCCCTGGAGGGACTTTCCCTGCCGGTTACACGATGGACGGGTGGCAGAACTGGAGGACCGTGTGCCTGGCGGGACTGTCGATCGAGGACGCTGAAGATATCTACCTATTCGGAACCATGATAACAGGGTTCATGCTGATCGGCGTTGGCCTAGCCCTGCTTTATCAGAGAAATAAGAGAGCGGAACCGGCTGTTCAAACCCCCACATGGCTGCCCGCTGGATTCGAAGCACCGGGACGAGGTGCGACCTCTCACAACGGACGTAATATGGTCAACACCTTGGAGACGCTTACTGCTGCTGTGAAGGCTCAAAACAACGCCATTGAGCGTATGAGGGGAAACATCAGAGAGAGGCCTGCTCAAAATGACACCCTTGAGCGACAGCTGGAAAACATCGCGGAACGGATCACTGCAGTTGTGAAGTCTCAGAATCAAAAGACTGACAACACCTTGGAACTGAAGTTTGATACCATCATGGGGAGGCTCGCGGCTCTCCAACGCGAAGTTGAGGGACCAGTCTCAGAGTGCTAAAATTCGAGCTGCTCACAAAACAGAAATCAACAATATTCAACATTCGGACACCACGGCGCCAGCTGCAGGCCCAAGGCTGGAGCCCACCAAAACAACTCCCTGATAACGACTGTGTGATGACTATTCTTCCCGTCCCATGAAGGCCACCTGGGTTGGCTGGCAGACTGTTTACTTAGCCTGATAGTGCGAAGGACACTGTCTCCGCTGAACTCTGGACACACACACACACACACACTTACACTGACAAGCACTCACTCATCCCCCTCCCTTTCCAACGCCTTCGATGCTTGTGCCCTACCGGGGAAGATAGCAGTCAACTGGACCAGCGCAGATGCTGCAGGACCAGATGCGCTGTCTACGCCGGCTCTCTCATACCCTTTACCCGCCCCTGTTGCTTGTCTCGTGTTTCTATGGTGTATTGATAGTCATGTGCTTTTGTGCTGAGGTGTTTTTTCTGTTATCAAACTGTTCTCCCACCAGGAGCTCAGTCTGAGTGGAGTTTTTTTTCTCCTCCTCTTACCTCATGTAGTGTATTTTCGTTGTTTTTTCCTATCAGCCTACCTTTCTGACATGTCTCCCCAATGTGATGCTTGTGTAAAGTTGGTCAGAAGGTTCCTTTGTGAGTGCGCATGCGCCATTAGCGTGCTGCCTGCTGTAACCCCTAATTTCCCTCGGGATGAATAAAGTATTCTGATTTCTGATTTCTGACATATGCATACCAAACCGAAAGCACTGTATCAAACGGTTCAATATCGATACGAGTATCGTTGCACCCCTAATATATATATATATATACTTTCTGGCAACTACAAGGATCATAGGAAGGTGTGTGTGAAGAAGAAGAGGAAAAAAATAGAGAATGAAACAAAACGAGACATGCTTTCATGTAACTGAAAGACGACATTGACAGAATCATATTAATGCTGCGCTGACTGTATAATGAAGCACCGCTGTCAGGGAAAATTACCTTTGGAAAAAGATCCTACCAGTCACAAAAAGAGACATCAACACCCATAGAAAATGTGGAATGTAATTACTCTCTCAATATGTGTTGCTGACAGATGGTTAAAATGCCACAAATGTACAAAATTAGAATAATAAAATCTGTTTGAAGCTATGTGCCAACAGAACATTTAGATGGATGGATGGATATATTTATTGATTTCACAAAGGGAATTATTAAATATCTAAATTTCAGTCACAAGGTGATGAAGTTTATTTATCCAGAAGAGCATCTGCTTACCCTTCTATGCCTGCAAGCTTTTAAACTGCTGATTTTTCTTTTGCCATTTGCACTCATGTGGACTTGATTTGTTTCGTACAATACAAAGTCATAACCCTGCTAAATTTTAAATGAGCTGCATTTTTTTTGTCTTGCATGAGAGAAGTATCACTTCAGGCTAAATAATAATGTATGGACACTTAATAAGCTTCTTTCCATTACATGATGTTATTTGCACTCGCTGGGTGGTTTACTACCAGAACTGATTTTGTAGCAGTCGTTGGCATTAGAATGCATCATCCCAGCTGAGTTCACATTAATGAGAAAATCGTGCATGCTGCATATTTAAGTAAGCTAGAGCAATTACAGAGTGTTTATTTGAAAAAGCAATAAAAAAAACAATGTTTTAAATTGCATAATATAGTAACTCAACAAATTAAAGTGCAAACATACAGGGAGTGCAGAATTATTAGGCAAATGAGTATTTTGTCCACATCATCCTCTTCATGCATGTTGTCTTACTCCAAGCTGTATAGGCTCGAAAGCCTACTACCAATTAAGCATATTAGGTGATGTGCATCTCTGTAATGAGAAGGGGTGTGGTCTAATGACATCAACACCCTATATCAGGTGTGCATAATTATTAGGCAACGTCCTTTTCTTTGGCAAAATGGGTCAAAAGAAAAGTCAAAAATAGTGAGCTATCTTGCAGAGGGATGCAGCAGTCTCAAAATTGCAAAGCTTCTGAAGCGTGATCATCGAACGATCAAGCGTTTCATTCAAAATAGTCAACAGGGTCGCAAGAAGCGTGTGGAAAAACCAAGGCGCAAAATAACTGCCCATGAACTGAGAAAAGTCAAGCGTGCAGCTGCCAAGATGCCACTTGCCACCAGTTTGGCCATATTTCAGAGCTGCAACATCACTGGAGTGCCCAAAAGCACAAGGTGTGCAATACTCAGAGACATGGCCAAGGTAAGAAAGGCTGAAAGACGACCACCACTGAACAAGACACACAAGCTGAAACGTCAAGACTGGGCCAAGAAATATCTCAAGACTGGTTTTTCTAAGGTTTTATGGACTGATGAAATGAGAGTGAGTCTTGATGGGCCAGATGGATGGGCCCGTGGCTGGATTGGTAAAGGGCAGAGAGCTCCAGTCCGACTCAGACGCCAGCAAGGTGGAGGTGGAGTACTGGTTTGGGCTGGTATCATCAAAGATGAGCTTGTGGGGCCTTTTCGGGTTGAGGATGGAGTCAAGCTCAACTCCCAGTCCTACTGCCAGTTTCTGGAAGACACCTTCTTCAAGCAGTGGTACAGGAAGAAGTCTGCATCCTTCAAGAAAAACATGATCTTCATGCAGGACAATGCTCCATCACACGCGTCCAAGTACTCCACAGCGTGGCTGGCAAGAAAGGGTATAAAAGAAGAAAAACTAATGACATGGCCACCTTGTTCACCTGATCTGAACCCCATTGAGAACCTGTGGTCCATCATCAAATGTGAGATTTACAAGGAGGGAAAACAGTACACCTCTCTGAACAGTGTCTGGGAGGCTGTGGTTGCTGCTGCACGCAATGTTGATGGTGAACAGATCAAAACACTGACAGAATCCATGGATGGCAGGCTTTTGAGTGTCCTTGCGAAGAAAGGTGGCTATATTGGTCGCTGGTTTGTTTTTGTTTTGTTTTTGAATGTCAGAAATGTATATTTGTGAATGTGGAGATGTTATATTGGTTTCACTGGTAAAAATAAATAATTGAAATGGGTATATATTTGTTTTTTGTTAAGTTGCCTAATAATTATGCACAGTAATAGTCACCTGCACACACAGATATCCCCCTAAAATAGCTAAAACTAAAAACAAACTAAAAACTACTTCCAAAAACATTCAGCTTTGATATTAATGAGTTTTTTGGGTTCATTGAGAACATGGTTGTTGTTCAATAATAAAATTGTTCAATAATAAAATTATTCCTCAAAAATACAACTTGCCTAATAATTCTGCACTCCCTGTAGACTCACTGGTGTCGTCTTACTGTCTGCTCACATACATGTGCGAAAGTGTGAAGCCACAGCTGGTTTTTAAAAAAATGGAAAATTGGTGCAGCAATTTACATATAAACATGGGAAATACAGCATATTTTTGTAAAATTCAACTGAGCTGTGTTTTAGAGATGGCTGTAGATACTCATTGTTAAATCTGATATCATTCATACAATATGAACTACAAACTAGAGATTTTGATTCATCACACTATAAGCTATTGTCACTGATTTTTGTGTAATTTCACATACCCCAGCCTTTTCTCCCTGTTTCCCTTCCCTTCACTCTTCCACTGAGACTGAGGCTTCAGTGAAGAGTAGATGGATCAGCTGAAGGGCCAGATGTGTCCTGTGTCAGATCTTTAAAGGATTGTTTTCCTATTTCTTAAGGACATGACTGTCAGATACTGCTCATCTGCTGTAGTTTTTTTTATGCCTGCCGCTTATTCTTTTGTTCTCCAGTTGTTCAGTTTTAAGGAAACACTGCACATCATGTAGATTCATAGATTCAACAAAAGAAATAGAAACTAATTTTATGTTTTTGTGGCAGACTGCAAGTAGGAACGTGATTTATAATTGGTTCCATTGTTAGCTGTCTGGTTTCTATATACATAACACTGGTCCATCCCTGGATTTTGTTGTGTTTTTGTGCTTAAATGATTCATAGGTTAGTGTTAAGTGTCATGCTGAAGAGTGATGTAGTGAGGACCTAAAGGCAAAGGTGGAAAGAGAGAGAGCACAAACAAAAAGCAAACTGTTTAAGTAGACTGGTAAGTCCATACCAATCTGAAACAAAAAAAAATAAAACAAACACCCGACATAAATAGAAATTATGAGGAAAAAATTGCCAAACACAAGATGTAAGATTCACAAAATAAATACCAAATCACAGGCATAAAAACCTCATGTTCATGGCAGCTTAACATACAAACACAAATAACATTCCTCTAAAAATGGTCAAGCGCAAGGACTTGACTGAAAATGGGTGAAAAAGCAGCCAATCTACATAGGCAAAGTTTGAAAAAGCTTCAGAAATCCTGAGAACTACTTCTCAAAACCAGCAAAGTATAAAGAAATCCAAGACTTTTGCACACTATTGTACAATATGCACATTGACAAACTGCTTCCTGTGTGTGTTCTTCAGTTACGTCCAGGTGAAGCGTTCACTGTGTACCACACCAGTCCTACACTGTCCAGTCTGTCCAAACCAGTGGTGCTGTGGACTCAGCAGGATGTCTGCAAGTGGCTTAAAAAACACTGTCCACACAACTACCTGACCTATGTAGAGGCCTTCTCCCACCACGCCATCACAGGTACAGTGCACAACATGTGAATATGTAGCATCAGTTGTTACAGAACTTTATGCTGACTGGGATTGTTGTCTTTTATTTGCAGATAACGTCAATCACTATCCCTGCTAATAGTGTAAAGTGCACAAGATCTAGTCTTCTAGAGGGTGCTGTTTGTGTTAAACTTCTCATTGACCTCTGTTCCGTTCAATAAGCATAGTAGTGATGCTCATTTGGACTAAGGCATTGCAAACCAGAGCCATAAAAGGCTTAGTAAATCTCACACAAAGTTTTATTTTTAGGTTTGTGGTTCCACAGCTTAGCTTTCTCAACTGGAAACAGGTTTACACCCAAATCTCTGCAAAGGAGATTTAAAAGGCATACATGTGAGGTAACGAAAGGAGTGCAGCCTATTTTTGCAGAAGAAAGGCAAATCTGTGGAAAAAGTGCTGTGTTATCGTGTTTGAGTTCAAACAACACGCTCTCACACATTTATTTGTTAGTACTCCCACACAAATGCATGCGAGTGCTTAGATACACAAACCAAGGTAGTAACAGACATATGAGCATGTACGTGTTGACACATCCTCGTCCTTGACAGACCAGACGGTAGAGCAGTTTCTTTTTCAGAGTCTCATAGAGAACAGATTGCTGGTCTATGCTGCAGGGTCAGCCACCACTCACTTACATTTCCACACACACACACACACACACACACACACACACACACACACACACACACACACACACACACACACACACAGTGCATTGCATACACAGGCTTCAGGGTTAACAATGCTGCCACCATCATAGCTGCCGTAGCTCTGATCTGATCATTTCTATTTATGTATTCTCTAACAGAGAGCGTGAGATAGAGGCTTCAGCTCAATTATCCCTGTGTATTCACTTCAAGATGTCCAGCTGGATTTTATTTTGGCTCTGTTATTAGCTGATGTATTTTTCTTGTGCAAATGAGAGTTGAATATGTGTTTGTGTTGTGGATGCATTCGGTCAGCATAAAAAATAACCTCAGAAAAGACTACATACAAATTCTTTGCCTTTTTTGAAGGATGCTGATTCTCATCAGCAGCCATGAAATGGATTCTGTGTTTGTAAAGGAAAATATTTCTCTGAGCTGCTCTCAACCACTGGAAAAAAGCTATACCTGAGAAAAATCAGTGTAGCTTTCATAGTTTCTCCTGCAGTTTGAGTTGTTGTGCATTTATCAGCACGTTTAATCTGTTTCTATTGTTTCTAGCAATAGTGAGTACACAGTATTTTGTCAGTTTTCTATATAATCTATATTCTGTAGACTACATGTGCAATTTGATTACCACGTAGTAATGAGAGTCAAACTTACGATCCCATTAATGAACAGTTTCAGGAACAGTTTGAATTGAGTACTAGAGCAGTTACAGGACAACAATAAATGCTAAAATGTACTATAGATGTGTAAATAAGCTAATGCTAGCACTAGCTAGCTTGAATAGCTTTTTTGGAGAAAATAGTGGTTAGAGACCTCAGCAGAATCCAAATTATTGTGATGGTGTGCAATAAACTTTAAATCTTTTTGCCTTTGAAACTGCTGTTTCAAAGGCAGGGACCAAGTCTGCAACTGCTGGCAGTCAACTGACATCTTCAAAGCAGATTTAGTGCATCAAGACAGCAATAAAACGGTATTAAGATGGAATCAGTCTGCTATCAGTTTACAGTTAAAGTTGGAAATTGCATGCAATCTGTTTGTGATAATGCTTTGATTAGCTGTGATAAATGACCAAAAACTGTGGTGTCTATTACAGAAATTCACATTAATTGCTTAGTCTGGCCAGAACCTCCCATATATAAAACAGAAAATAAAGACTTTCCCCCACAAATAGTGATATAGTTGCTACAGTACAGCAATTTAGCTGCAAAATAACATAGGCAACCTTTCTTTCATGTATGAATAACACCCGTCAACTATTGAGGTAAGTCTCCTATTGCAAAGAGAAGCATCGCAAACAAGTTGCACTTATAGGAGCAGGCTCTGATTGATTGCAATGTGTTGGTAAATTAGACAACAATTATTTGCAAAGCTTTGCCAATCTGTGTGGGAGTGATTATAGTTAGTCTGAGCCAGACTTTTGTTTGGAGTTTGCCTCTCTCCAGGTGACCTCTGCAATCACCTTGCAATTGAAAGTGGTCGCCCAGAGCCTGAGGGTGTTCCATGTTAAAATATAGGTGCGTGGTGGGGTACTTCCAATCAATTGTCGAATGCAAAAAGTATCAATTTTCATGGTCACAAGGAGGCTGTAGTCATATTTTTTACTCTAGTGTGCCTGAGCCATTAATAATGTGGACATGTAGATACCAAAAATGCTGAACAGTAGCCTACGTGTGAATGTTAAACAAGCCCTTGATGCACAGAATAGCCACACTCTAGAGCACACACTACTTAATTATCTGATTTACTCTTAATGGGAGTATAATTTGCAACGTGAATACTATTCTACATTCAATTAGAATAAAAACTCCAATTTGAAAACATAAACTTTGCAAAATATTTATCAAGATCATAAATCAAATGAGAAGTGGAGTCATTTTCTCAAAGTTTTCCATACAGCAATTTTGCAGCTATTGGAGTCAGCCCCTGCAGGACAGTAGAAATACTACACGTTTAAGTAATGTCCTTCATGACTTAAATGGCTTCATCAAGCGGCAACTATACTATACTGCATGCTGCACTGCAAGTTAGAACTATGCTACCGTTCATATTAGACTAAAATAACCTCAACTCTTTTGCAAAATGAGAGGAAAACAGGGCAAATAAAACTCAAACAAGCAAAGTGTGAAAGCAAGCAAATTTCTTACTTAATGCTTTTAGAGTTGATCATGTTACATGATGTCTGTTTAAGTCAAGGATCTGAATACTTCCTCCATCAGACAGCTGTTGTTTGCAGAAGTAAATAATAGATGTGATTACACTCGATTCTAGCAGATGTGCATGTGAGTTAGTGGCAGAAAACCATTTTTGCATTGCATTAAAAAGTTGATGTGATAGATGAGATGAGTCAGACTGAGGAACAGATGAGTCACACATTCAGACCAGTTCTTTCAGTTTTGTGCACTGTCTCCTCAACATTTTGATAAGTATTTCGTAAGTACTGTACAATAGGCCAAGAGGTGTGAAGCTGATAAATTGGCACTTGCTATCCAAATCTCATGTACTGTTACTTTCTCATAACATGGCTGTATACTTCACAGACTGAAGTTTGAACACACAGAAAGCTAGACCACCTCTATATGAGGTTTTAACTAGATTGCCCCTGAAGTTGCTCCTATATTTATTTCTTATGTTAATATTCTTAGTATAATATTTTATACCAAGTATGATTAACAGATATATTCAATAGATCAGTAATATAGACAGACCACAAAGTATGTAGCCAATAAAGCAAAAGTTAAATAGTTTAAATTGTTGGTCAGTTTGATCACAGATTTAAACTAAAGGTTGCCCTTTTATAAGGAAGTCCCCCCCCCCCCCCCCCCCCCCCCCCCCCCCCCCCCCCCCCATGCACACACACCTTGGATTGCTTTTCAGACTGTCTTAAGAGTCATTATTGTTCCAGCCAAGGCAGAACTGCTTCCCATTTGCCCAGAGACATTGTTAATAAGCAATTTATTTTGAAGCCAAATTGAGAGAGGCGATCTCTATTGAAACAGCTTTTGTTTTTGTGTCTCTTTTCTGCCTTTGACAGCATACTTTCCCTATCTGCAGGCAATTATTAGGAGCTGTATTAAGTCTGTCTGAGGGGAATTGATTTGAGCTCCATTCATCTGCTTTGTCTCATTTGTACACATGCACACACAGACATTCACAGAGCAAGGGCAGTAGTTTTTTTTTTTCTAGGACACACTGGTCCTGCTTTTGGCAAGCGCACATGAGAGGGCTTTTGTGGGGATTGGGTAAAGAGGCCGACGAATGTGTACGAGCAGACAGAAGTGTGTGTGTGTGTGTGTGTGTGTGTGTGTGTGTGTGTGTGTGTGTGTGTGTGTGTGTGTGTGTGTGTGTGTAAAAGAAAGAAATACTGATATACCACACAAAATAAATGGAAAATTATTGTTGTATCCTCGAGGTAGTTGTGCTCATACAAATTGGGTAATTCGACTCTGCGTGCTCGAAACAGGGAGCACCTGGACTCGCAGGAGAAGCAAATAATCTCCCTTTAAACAAAAAGTGCATAGACACACATGCACAGCAAACACACACGATCCATTCAACCATTATAAAAGCTAACTGGTTTGTCATGGCCTTTCCTCCAAGGGAGAGCAGCCATACCCACAGAAGAGGGAACTATTGTTTATATTGTTGGAGCCCATCTGGTAGTAAGGAAAAGACAGGCTGACAGTTCTGTCCTCATTTGGCTTGGCTAGTTCCATTGAGAGCAGTATATCGTATATCAGAGAGCTGGGAAGTGTACAAAACACACATTGCTGCTATCTTATATTATATTCAGCTGTCTGTTATATAAAGTATCAATTGGCTTTAAAAGAGCATTTTTGCTGAGATAGTTCCTCACTGTTTTGCATTGTTCTAGTCTGAAATTGTATTTCAGTTTACCTCAAGAGGAAACATACCACACTCACACACACATACGTCCATAGTAGAGTATAAAAATAAGACTGGAACCAAAAGAGTAGCAGCTTTTATTTGTGAGAGTGTACTAAACGGCAAATGAGTCAGCTGAGTCATGCAGCCAAAAACATGGAAATCTGTCAAGATGCCCATGCTACACGAGCTGATGGAAACAAAAGGTTTCCTTTAGCTAAATATAGAGCTGTTGGACTCATTTGGAAAAATTACACAATCCCAGATCAGTGCTTTTATACTGGTTTTAGGTTAGATGAAGGGTTTTTGCTGTATAACTTATCTGAATTGCTGTGATTAAGATGTTAAAGAAGAATATGGTTTGGGGCATGTTACATTTTTCTTAACAGATGGTTTTAGAGGCACTCAGGCCGGGCCTGGGTCACAACAGACCTATTTCAGTGTAATGTAGCACACCATCAAATCTCTTCTCCAACATAGAGTCTGTGTTATAAAATATGACTACAGAGTCCTTTAAGGGTATTTATATTTTATGGGCTAAGAAAAAAGACAGAGGGCATGTGGGTCTAATTCTCTATCTATTTTCCCTCTTTTGATTTTATTTGCTTTTATTGTGTTCCCTCTTTCTCCTCTGCTTTTGCACTCGTCCTACAGATTTGCTCACTGATTACTGTGGGTACATAAAGGAAAAAAATTGAGGCTCAGTGTAAGTGTGACAGCAAAAGAAACAGAAAGGAAATGTGAAAGGTGTTTACAAGCTATGAAATACACACTGGTTGTACATGCAATATATAACCTGTGTGACTTTTCTTCTCCAGAACATACTTATGATGCAGGTATAGAAAAATGAAAAAAAACAAAGGTACAGAAGATATGTGCAGGGCAATGAAATGGAAATGAATAGAGTGATATAGAGAGCTGCATGAGTAATGAGTCAAATTATGATTTGGGCGTCGTACAGAGCTGCTGCAGGTATGATGGATTCCTCTTCTTTCTGCGCCTGCGAAGGACGTAGCTCTCCTACTCTCAGTAAGCTCTCTGTGTGCTGCACCTCCACACATACAAGTGTTTGATATTGTGTCTGTGTTCATGGGAGTGCGGCTTGGTTGTAAAAGCTGTTTACTGTGGGTAATGGTATGTTAAATGGGAGTGTCCCCAGGGTTAACTGCCAAACTGTAGTAAAACTTAACCATAGAAAGAGTCTGCCTGTGTGAGCCAGCCTTTTTACTGTTAGCCACCAGGTGGCTGAAGTGCTGACCAGGAAAAGAAAAAACATTTCTAATTTATGTACATAAGAATGTGCATTTCATTTGCCTTTTCTTTTTTGAGATTGGGAGAAAATTCACATTGGAAACATGTGGAACCCACAGATTTCTATCAAATGTATATTTTTCTTATTTTATTTATGTCAGCGACAACACTGCAACATTTAATAGATGCTTTATAACACTCACACACACAAAGAGATGGGTCCTGATATGTTCTTGCAGCTACATTACTGTTACATTTTATCAAATGTAAATGTAGTAGTTAAATGTGTCAGTATTTTCCCATAGGGTTATATGAAACAATATTTCATTTACAAGGGCTAAATCAAAATTTTAAGCTGATAACACTGAAATATCTATTTTATGGCTACTTTCTGAATTAGTGGAGAAAACTATCCTGACGTTTCCCTTCTGTTCCTTGCAGGACGGGCATTGCTGCGTTTAAATGGGGAGAAGTTGGAGAGGATGGGCATTGTCCAGGAGACACTAAGGCAGGAGGTCCTCCAACAGGTCCTCCAGCTGCAGGTCAGAGAAGAGGTCCGCAACCTGCAGCTCCTTAGTAGAAGTAAGATCTCAAGATTTTGTGAGCGAATAACCACGCTGCTGTGCACTTCTGTTTTGTGCCTGTAATTGTGTGCTGGTGTATTGATGTGAGAGAGGGAACAATAACAAGAGACAGGGGAAGAGCAGTTGGGCTTGGTTAAATTGGGAGGTGGCAGTGTGAGACCATTGATGCCTGCTGTGACATACGTGGAGTTGGGCATTCAAGTGCAATTGTTTGTGGCTGTGTGGTTTTATTGAAGGGAGCCCTTGATTTGCTGCACTGCCTCTGAATGGTGACTTCGGTAAATTCTTTTATTTTCCAGCCATCAATAAACTTGCTCAGGCAGGCACTGCTGACCTGGATTCAGACGTTGATGTGGTTTGTGTCTTAAAAGGAGTGTTTTTCTTTTTATCTGCTGCGGTGATTGTTTTCTGTGCGCATTGAGGACTGGGTGGCATCAAAGGGAAACACGTGCACAGGCTCCTTTCTCTGTATGAGCACGATTATATGGTTATTTAAAGCTTCCAACATTTTCAGTACATTTTATATTCCAACTTTAGCAGAATTACCTCATCCAATAGGCCAAATGTAATGATGATAAGTGCCATAGTTTTTCTTGGTGTAAGAGTTTGTATTCAAAGCCAAATGCGGGGCACCTTCACTCAGTTTAAACACTATAATCTTCAAGATCATGACCTATATCAAGAAGCAGCAACATCCTAGCTGAGCACATACCTTGAATAAAAGGGATTCTGCAACATTTAAGGGGAATTGCAAGAAGCTTACAGCCTTAGTCGTTTCTAGATTGTTCAAGCTTAAAACAAAAAATGTCTCGAGGTTTCAGATTATCCTGAAGAACAAAGCTTTTTCTGCAAAATTCAAGAAAAAAAAATGCCCAGTCTCCCTTAACATGAGTGTTTTTGTCTAAAATTGATTATTTTGTTAAATCAGGCTGAGCAGTGAAGTTGTTTTTGTCATCAAGTGATCATCATCAACTGATGGCACAAGGGCTCTTATAATCACCAGTTAGATACAAACAAGTAAATGAAACACTCCTTGTACTTTGACAAGCTCTCCACTTTCAGTATCTGATCATGCATGCTGCTGAAGTTACTGTTTGGTTTTCTGCATATTCCTACTTGCTGCAGACCACTTTGGGGTAAGTGTGGGGAAAATATGTTTATGTGAATTTTAATTTTTCAGTGGCCCATACATAAAGCTGTGTACAGAGCCAGAGAGACAGAAGAGCTACACATCTGGGGCTACAGCACGAAGCTGTACAAAAATCCTGCATGGTTGTGCACTGTTGTCAAGGCATGGACAAGTTTGCCAGTTAAACATCTACAACAAACTAACAACAATAAAGATAAATCATCTTCAGTTTGAGATATAGGGAAGCAGTGAAGAGAGTTTATGTGGTTTAAAATATTATCATGTGATAGTTTGAATTTACATTCAGTAATGAAAACACTGGAGTTGTAGTTCTCTATTAATAAAAATGAATTCTTTAGAGCTTAGAAGCAAAGGTTGTGCCTGAAAGAGCAATAATGTAGATATATTCGGGGTGAGAGGTTGGGGTTGCAGAAAATGTTTGAGAGTTGCTGAATTAAGAATTGTAATTGGTATAAAACCCCTACAGTAATTAATGAATAACAAGAAACAGCACACAGGACTGAATTGGGTGACTACTAAAGACTAAATTCTAATTTGTTTCAGTAAAAGGCGCTGCACTTTCTTTGAAGTGGTAATTATACAAAATCAGTCTCAGGTTAGCACTCAGTACTGTTTGACACGGATGGACCACTCCCTCTCATCTTTTTGCCTCATTCACTTCACTTACAGATAAAGAATGTAAAAGTGCATTTGATGGCATGCGTGCCAACCAAGCATGCTGTATTAAATTAAGCTGAATTAAACTGAGACATGTGATGCAACTTACTGGTAGGCAGAATTGCTTTTGGAAACTTCTATTAACTGGAAAATGCATTGCAATGCAAATGTAATTTCCCAGTTCAGCAGCCTCTGACTTTAAGCTATAAGGCCAAGCTAATTTGGTGCACTCATAAAACACCTGAGTTTCACAGGGTTGCAGGGTATTCAAAGGTGATAAAGGCAGGTCGAGGTGTGAACCCTTGGAAGAAGCGATAATGGGGATGTTTCAGTGGCTGAAATGAAATGAGAAGTGTTATGAGGTGGTGTGATGTGATGAGGTGCTGATGAGGTGCTCATCTCAGGAAAAGGTGAAGGTCTGGACTGAAACTGGTTTAGTGTAAGATAACAATCTTGTCATTTTCTAAAAAACAAGTTAATGTTGCAATCAACTTCATGTAACCAGTGTCAAAGTCATCCACAATTTTATTGTCAGAACTTCTCAGAAGTAGAGGAGGAAGAGACACAGCTGTTTTCTAGCCTAAAGTCAAACGTCGCAGTTTATTGTCAGTGCCTCAGCCAACTTGTATCTTAACCATTCCAGTAACATGGCTGTAGAAATAAGACACCAATGGCTGTCACTTACCTGACCATTTTCATCCAAACCACTGATCCCACTGCTTTTGTATGATTTTGGTGTGCCTGTAGCTCAGGTGGTAGAGCATGTCACCTACAAATCAGAAGACTGGTCATTCAATCGCGGGGCTGCTCCAGTCTGCATGCCAAAAATCCTCGGGCAAGACACTAACCAGGTTGCTCTCCAATGCATCCATCAGAGTGTGAATGTTAGACACAAAGTGCTTGTATGAATGAGTGTGACTAGGTGAATGAGGCATGTTGTTTAAAGCATTTTGAGTGTTCAGGTAGAGTAGAGAGGCACTACATAAGAACCAGTCCATTTACCATTTGCCATAAAGCTTCATAGAGACATTTATGGCCCGCAGATTATCCTCTTATTTCCAAAAGTTCCAAAACTCTTCCTTTATCCCTACCAAAAAAAATATATATTTCAATTTTTTAGTAAAATATATTTCTGATGGAATTAAGTTTCTGTGGATCAGTCACCAGGTGGGGCTGGGTTAAGACGGAAAAAATATGCTGATGTGAGGAGAAAAGGGAATGAGGCTGACGTTTTGGCTTGTGAGTCAGATGTGGAGAAGGATGCTGATGGTGAAACGGAAGATAGAGAGAAAGAAAGAAAGAAGCAGACTCACTCAGTGGTTAATGCATATTAGGATTTAGACTTGTTCATCTTTGCTCACTCCACACACACTTCTAACTATTCTCCCTGAATGATTCGCCCAATACACTTTCAATTCTGGGGTGATTTAGCAGAGCCGTCATACCAGCTGTCAGGTCTGATTCATCTCCAGTGGATTTACCAAAAATTAAATATTGATCTCACAATAACTTTAAAAAAAAAGGGGGGGGGGGTGAAAATACAGATGCAGCAGTAAAGCTGAATCTGATGGGAGCTTGTCTCTGATCTGAGCCGCGATAGCACACTTTAACGCAACCCTTACAAGGCCCTCACATTATTGATGTCAGGATTGTAGAAGACTCTGTTCAGTAATTCTTAAGCTTTTACAAGCAGTGCAGACTTTCTCTGTCTCTCTCCAATTCATTAAAAAAGCTGAAACAGAGCTGTGATACAAAATTAAAGGGACAAATTATAGAAAAGAGCACCTAAACACCTGGAGGGTATGATTTGAATATGGAGAGGTGAAAAAGACAAGACTAGTGTGCCATAAAAAGGAGGACAGAGAGCTGAGACTGGAGGTGAAGTGTTTAACAGAGAAAAATACTGGAACTGAAATGAACAGATCACAGAGATAAAGAAATGAGACAGGTGAAGAGGTTAATAAAGGGACATTGATACTTGATCTGATTTCACTTTTATTCTCTGACTACGGGGCCCTACTTTTCTGCTTCTTGTTAATCTGCGTAAAGCAGGCTCAGTTGCTTAAAGCAATGTAATAACATTTCACACTCAGCCAAGAATGAGATTACTTTGGCTGCAAATTATGGTTGAAAATGCTCTTCTGCATGCGATACCCAGTGAAAAACAAAACTCTTGTCTGTGGATAAAAGGGAAGTTTGTCTGTTATTTGATGTCCATAAAAATTGTGGAAAGATTTTTTTTAAGATGTTCCCCATCTGTAAATTTTGATTATTAAATTAAAACATTTCATGATATTTCCATGCCCTGAGAAAATAGCAAAATAAAACTGGAGGTGCAGAAATGTAAAAATAGACTAAAACACTAGATGGGATGGTTGGAGGGGGATGTTTTGGCCTCCACTGCACCAGCTGCGAATGTTCATTTTTAAGATGTCTTTCACAAGTCACCCAACTTCATGAAAGCCCGTGACTAAACTGCTACTCTGCCCTTTAAAGGTTGGCTGTGGTGACTTCGATGATTAGGTATTTTTGGTTTCTGTAATAGCAGCCCTTCCTGTGAGCCTCGGAAGAACACATAATCTCTTAAAGTCCTCACAAGCCTTTTCTTTCCTCCCTAAACTCCTGATATTCACTTCTAAAGACTTTGCTAGATTTTTCTCATTGGCTTCTTTTTTCTTTCCTTCTACCATATAAAACATGAATGGAAACAACATAAATAAAACTGATGTTTTGGAAAACACACAGTTCATTTTCAGTCATTGCTGCAGATCCATGTAATGGATCTTGTCTTACTTACTGACCACTCAAAGCACTTTACAACTCACCTGCCTCACAGCCATAATCGATTAAGAATCACCAATTAACCTATAATTCGGGTCTTTTGATTCTAGGCTGAAGGCGGTGTACCTTGAAGAAATCTATCCTAATCAGAGAGAAAGCAAGAAAAGTCCACAAAGAAAGGCCCAAGCAGGGCAAGAGATTCAAACTAGGAACCTTAAGCAGCCTATCACTGTGCTTTAAAAATACATAACTTGTTTGGGACACTAAAAAGCCCAAGGTAAACTCTTAAGGCATACATATATATTCATGTTTGAGAAAAAAAGAACCCTACATCATTTGGCATGTTTTCAGTTATTCTTTTGACTGTATTGTTATATATGGGCATTTTTGATAACATGACATGAAATTTTTTGCTTTGCAATAGCTCATTTTGCCTCCTTCACCTAATAAGATGTGTTCATGCAGTCCAAGAGTCTTGTTGCTTCTGGTTCCCCTCCAGTGCTCTTTTGAAATTGGCCAAGTTTCTCTCAGAGGGGATGTTTGGTTTCCAAGTGCCTCTTTGCCTTATTTGGCACCATGTTCATATTAGACGACTTCTCCTGACAGATGACACGCTGAGGCTGAGGGCTGCTGACATCCGCGGTCTAGCAGAAGTCATAAGAAAGGGGGATTTTAAGATCATTCCTGATAGCTTCTTCTCCCTGTTTTCAGGGGGTCTGTGGTCACATTGTTGGTAGATGTGTTTGGTTCATGCAAGAAAATGATTCATGTTCCCCTATCTGAAATCTTGTTACGTTCTTTGCTAAACCAGGGTTTAATGTGTTACACTATGATAATTCCTACCCTCCAGAAACAACATGAAATGACTTAGTTCAGTTTCACAGAAACCTCTTAAAAAACAGGGAATAGAATTTGCATCTGAATTGGAAAAAGGGGGCCTACAGCTATCAGATATTGGATATGTTTTATTTCGTTTTATGGCATGTAAATAATAGTCAAGTAATTGTCAGTGATGAGTAATGATCAGTCAAATGAACAATAAGGGAATTGATAGTAATCTTTTGCATATAAAATACCAATCATCTATCTAACCCATCCAACCATACAGAGGCTGATTCCAGTGAGATAAATGTGTTCTGATAGTCAGGGTCCATTTCATGGTTAAAAACAAAGTCCAGCTCACAATGATGTGACTCTTGGAGCATAACCCACCTCACTCCTTTACATATTGTTTAATATTAGACTGAAAAACTTTTGGAATTCACTGTTATAAACTTTTTATCCACTTTTTAAGTCTGCAGACAGTAAGCGTTTGAAATGCAAAACATTTGAAAGAATGTAGATTTACATCCCAGCATCAAAGCTAAATGCAAATTTATACATGAGCGCATCCGTCCTGGCAGTACTATGCAGCATACAATACTGCTCTTCATGTATACAACCCTGCTACTGTTGGGAATGGTGCGGTGCCTTATCTTTTTTTGTGTGTGTGGATCTTTTATTTGTACTTTTACACACTACATTTCAAGTGTTCTCGGTAGAATTGGTTGCTTTACTTTAGTCAGCAAGTGAAAGGTAAGGTTGATGTCTTTCAAAGCCCAGAGCCACAGCTCTCTTAGGGCAACGTAAACCATGCAGGGGTTGTAACATCTTGAATGCTTTGGGAGAGAGGATTCACATCAGAGCCCAGTGGGAGATCCACCTTCCCTCTTCCTCTTAGCCACTGGTTGCAAATAATATCTTTATAACATACTGTCAGAACCCCCCCCCCACCACCTTCTTCTTCAACATATCAATTTTTCATCAGTCATTCTGTGCATTTGTATGCAGCCATCTGCCATATTTTAGACTCTTTCCAGTAATTATCTAAAACTGATGAAGTTGCAATTAACCTCTACAAAACACCAGACACCACCCACCCCCAAATGCAAAAAGAAACCCTGTCAATAGCACTTTGGCTGCCTTACAAGACTGCCTTGGTAACCTTTTTGCTCTGAATCGATTCTGTGTGTTGCCCATCCTTGCACAGCTTTACTCGGAGCTCCCTATGGTGCCCGCCAGCTGAATTAGAATATGAATGAAACTCTGAGTGTGACAGACAGAGAAGAAGGAACATGTCATTTCTCCTCAGAACAAATTTTGCTCAGTTGCGTTTCACCCCCATCCCTCCCGTCTTCCCACCCACCTCCCCTCCTCTGCTTCATCTAGGCTCTGACGACTCCATAGGGAGCTCATTTAAAAGAATTTCTATCACAGAAACTGTTTTCTCTTTGTCTGTGCAAGCCTCAAGTCATATCAGCGCCTCTCTGTCCTGTCTGCTTTTCCATTCTGTCCCTCTGTTGTTTCCTGGTCGAGGTTTACTACGGTTCTACGTTACATCTGTCTGTGTTGGCTGCAAATCTACAGACAGGTATTGTCTCTTCCTTGGCAATCAGAAAAGGAGGGCTTGGAGCTGAAATGCCAACAGTCTGGGAAAGAAAAGTCTGCCGTTCTGCTGACACTGGTGTCATTTTAGGATGCAACAAACTGGCTAGTTGTCAGGGAAACCACCTGGTTGAATCTGTTGTTTGAAAAGACCCAAGAATAGATAATTAGAGAAAAAAAAAAGGTTTGCTAATTAAATCCCTTTTTTGTAAAGCTTTGTAGCCTTTTCTACCTCCAATTATTAATAATTTATTCATCTCCATTTTATTGTCTTTTTCACTACTTAGTACCATTATTCTACTTCTTAGTCAGTCTGCCAGTGCTTGTCCAAATGACTGTTTGTTTTGGAGACTGTTGCTCTGTGACTGAGTGCAGAGTATTACATCAACAGAGATTAATCACAAAAGTTTCACACTAGTGTAAATGTGGTTGTATATTGTACTCGGAACAACAAGCATGAATTTTATTCTGTTGTTCGGTGGTTGTCTTTTTCCCCCACTTCTTTAGTTGAACCTATGAAAAATGCAAACAACAACACAGTTTGATAGCCATGAGATAGTAGTTTTACACCAACATGGTGATTCCCAAAGAGGTATTAGTCAAGTTTAGAGCATGCTGTATCTCTATACGTTGTGCAGTCCCCCCCCAAGAAAAAAAAAAAAACCTGAGGAGACTGAACCAGGCCTGAAGACTATCCACTGCCGATGAATAGTATCTTGGGGGGGGGGGAAATCTGACACAGGATTATAGAGATGTGTCTGGTCCTTCCATTTATCCATCTACAGTTCACCAAAACCACAATGAAAGGTTGCTGACAATAAGGCATCCTTACTGAGACAAATGCTTGGATATTAGAGAGACTCTTAGATATATCTGTGCTCTCAGGACAGCACAGACTTGCACTGAGTGCATACAGAACAAGCATACCAAGAGAGAAATGTGTATTAACTATTTACTGAGGTCACAAAGGAGTATGATGTAAGAACAAACTAGTGCTGCACTTTCAACCTCTTTTGCATGTGAATCCTATTTATGTATTCCCCTCTCTTCTCTCCCCTCTCTGCAGCCTCCTTTGGAAATTTCTCTTAGCTCATCCCTGGATCCATTTAGTGGCCCTTTCCCTCATCCCTTGTCACAATACGTCTCTAGGAGCCATGGAAGAGCTGCTGTCTTCAAATATGTGAGCGGAGAATCAACGAGTGAAAGGGGAGAGGACGAGCCTATAGACTACATGCCAACCAGTCTGGAGGATTCTCATTCAACACGGCCAATCGGGTTTACAGACACTGAGACAGAGACAAAAACCCCGCTCTAGGCAGGGTTACCCCCTGTAACATACGATAAGATGATAAGATGAAAAGATGAAAGATTAACAATCTTTGTGATGATGTTTGCCTGGCGCGGGCATATCTTCGGTCATAGCAAATCTCCTTTTGGTTTCCTTTCTCAGCTGGAATGCACTGATTGAGTCATTTCAGCAGTAGCTATTGAAATTATATGTATTTGACATAAGTAGCGGTTATTGAATGAATTATTTTTTGACATGGTTTCACTTAGTTTGTAATAAGCATTTGGCCCAGTGGCAAAGGAAATGTGGATGTAACCATAGATTTATAGGCAGAGCTACAATTTAGACAATGGAACCTTACATTTAATCTTTATCTCCCTGTAAAGTAACAACCATGAGCGTATTCAAAGGTAATTAGAGCTTTTGTTAAAAGCATTTGACTAATGCCAGTTTAATCAACCCCTCACCCACGTGTCACACTGCATTTTCCTCTCAGGACATCGGTGTCAGAATTTGCAGGCTTGGAAGATGAACATTAACACTTCAGGCTGAATGTCATTCCCACAATAAAATTTTTGTATTGTGACTAATCTGCAGTATTTCAGTGAGAATTTAGAAATATATATTATAGGGTGTGAGCATTGTAGAGTAACATACACTTTAATGTGTGTATACTGTAACAGTTCTTTGGTCTTTTATTAATGAAATGGATCCAAGGGGCTCACAGAGTTAATGAGATTATAATTGCTTGATAAAGCAATAATGCTAGTGCTAAAAGGTGAAGAAGATGCACATCTGTAGAGATGGGATGCACCGTGTGAGTGTCTGCTGACGGAAATAAACACCTTGCCCTCTACAGTGGCAGTACTTGCAAGCCTTGTAGTTTCAGTCCTTTGTCTGTGATCATGTATACTGTATGTCACCTCTTACACACAGATACAACAAGAAGGATGGGTCTCCGTTTGTGTTCCATCTTGTTTCTCTCCCTGATGTGACGCTGTACTGTCAAATGGTCAGAAAACAAGATACGGTTGAGATTCCCACTGTGAACGAAACCAGCACCGTTGATGTCCTTCTAGGCAACAGCAGACAGCGACGATGACAATGATGCTCAAGACGGATGACTAAATCAGTGAAATGAAACGTTAAAAAAAAAAAAAAACACAACTTCCAAAACATCTGCACCAACCATCTTCCAACTGTCCTTTTACAAGGACGCTTTGAGTAATGTGAGATATCGACTGTTAAATGGGAAGAAAACACACTTTTATTTTTAGATGAAAAAATGTACTGTAAATACTGGTTTACATTGACTGATGATTTATGACCTGCAAAAGGAGAAAATGTTTCTCTGTTTTACAGATTCAACAGTGGAATGGAAAATGATGAAAGCTGTCATCATGTTTTTTGAATAAACTAACTGAGATGAATTGTTAGTTGAGTTTTTAATCAGCAGCCTTTGAAATGCATGTATTTGACAGTAAAATAACATTGGGGGGGCACAACAAATGACGCTAAAAAGAGGAGACAAGACAAAGGAAGGCATAAAAGAAAGAATGGAAAAGAAACAAAATAAAACAAGCCCCAGAACATAATCACACTTCAGCCTGATATACACCGCCAAAACCTATGAATCAGCCCTTTATTTAGTCAGTCTTACAATATAACATCCAATATTTTTCCAAGATAGAGAGATATTTTAAGTTATTTAAGTTAAAATAATTTTCAAAACTACAATTGGTTCCTCTACCCTTCTTGAAACACAGCGTCTGATTGGAAACAGATTTTTGGCAAGCAGTGCTCCCATTATCAAAATGGCTACAGAGCCAAACGATAGATTGTCCTCTCTGTTTCGACAAATCAACCCGAGTCTCTCTTGGAAAGGAAATTGGTTTGGATATTTTGAAATAAATACACCAGACACATCCAAAAATAAATGCAACGCAGTTCCATTTTTAGTTTTGAAGCTGTTAAAAAGGTTGTTTTAATAGTCAAATAATGTTTAAGACTTCTAAAAAAATGAATATGTAGCTCAAACTGTGAAATAACATTTTTATTTTCTTGCTAAACAGAGAGAAATGCAACTTGTGGGTTTCTACCTTCATTATACATAAGCAAAGATGAAAATGCATAGAAACATTTCTTTTTATTTTGTTTCACACATGGTAAAACAGTAATTCATTTCCTACACACAAACCTTTGTTTCAATTAAAATGACACTGTATCCATGCATGAAAAGAAGCAGGAAGAAGAATAAATTCTTATTAACGCCTATCTATAACCATGCAAGTAGGTACTTACAACCAAAATACACTCTGACACTATCCTACACACAACAAAACAAAACAAAACAGCAATCAGCAATGAGCAATACCACTAAATAGCAAATTAAAAAGGATAATTCTTTCTATAATTAACTCCTGTTATTTGAATCTTCTTCATATTGGTTTAACATTTTATTCTTATAGCACCTTTTAAATTGATAAACATTTGTACAACCCTTAAGATGATCATGGAGAGAATTCCACATTCTTATACCTATAACAGTTGGACTCATTTGCCTTCGAGTGGTCCGAGCAAACCTTAAAATAAAACTTCCTTCTACTATCCCCATTTTCTGAACACAATACAAATAATCTTTGTAACTTCAGAGGCAATGTTTTATTTTTTGCCCTAAACATAATTAATAATGTCTGTAATTTCACTATATCTTCTAGTTTTAATAATTTCAATTTTATAAACAAAGTATTTGTGTGTTCTCTGTATTTAACATTATGCATAATACGCAGTGCTCTCTTCTGTAATAAGTATAATGGTTTCATATTAGTCACAAACACAAACACTTGGTTTTAAAAGGTCACAAAACTTCCCCTCAGAATCAAAAAGTGCTTCTAGAAATTATAATTTGGCGTTATTACCTTAAATGAAGTGTGTTTATAATTTCAAGTGCGTAAAAATGTTCAAAAATAATTTTTTTAAGAAAAATTAACTCAATTTGAATTACAGTTACTGAATATTTGTTCCAGAAGTCACACGTGCTTCCTGAATTGTGGGTCCATCTGTGACGACTCTGACTCTGTGAATGCAAAATAGTGCTACACACGATTATTGTGTCTTGCATGCACATTCATGCACGCACACTCACAAACACACACACACACATTGGCATCCAATTACTGAGAGACATGAAGCATCTCACCTGTTAATAACAGGGCACATGTATGATAAACAGAGTCGGTGAACAGTAGCTTTCTCAAGCTTGACGGGAAAAAAAAAATCTGGCGCAGATGGTTGGATGGTGCAGTTAATTGGATGCTGTTTACTGTTAAGTGTCTTTTCTTTCTCTGTGTGGCATTTGTAGATGAATGAATTCCTTTCAGAAAGCTGCTCTTTTATGATTATTCGCTAAAATACCCCAAAGCTGACACCCTTCTACCAGATTGTTTATCGTTATCTGCTAGTGACTTTGATCAGATGGATCTTAGTCATATGACAGCACTGAAATTGAATGAAAAACACTCTGTCCCCTCTCATCAGCTATATCTGTTGACAAGCCCTTTAACGGTTGCTTGAGTGAATTTCCTCTATGGAATAAACTTAAACAGCTAGAGAATTTAATTTTTACTGGCATCCCTCAGATGTTAATACAGAAAACTAGTACAAAACACATTAGCATGAAATAGTGCATGCCTGCTCCCCAGACTTTCACTGGAAAGGTCAATAACAGTCAGCTGCTGGTTCAACTTTTCAAGAGCCTTTAAGTGCACAGACCACTCCACCTGGCCAATTTTATAAACTATTAAGTAGCCTTTTGCTCACTCAGCAGAGCAGGAGTGGGAACATTAATCACTGCCATGGTTGGAAGTCTTAATCAGGGGTCAGACTAGGCTCTGTATGAACTATTCATTAACAGCCATTAAGGAAAGCAAATTTCAGGATCAGCTGGATATTCGGTGTAGAATGGCAGAAGCCAATTGCACCCCGCAGACTTGGTTTGTCAGCTGAGTGTCCCCTCTGGCCTAACAGATCAGAGATCAACCCCAACAGTGTCTGTACCAACACGTGTCGCTGCATAAAGTCCAGTCACTATGGAAGAAATATAGTATCATCAGAATTCAACTATTTTTAGACATTGAATTTATAACACTGAATTTTTATCCTCCAAATTTCCCTGCAAAAATATTCACCTGCAAAAATTCACCTGCAAAAAATTCACCATCAAATATTATGGAAGAAATATAGTATCATCTCTGATGATACTATATTTCTTCCATAAGTCACACATTAAATAGCGACAACAATGCTGCAGGAACCCAAATATTTCTATCCAGTAATCAACAAGAACGGTTTCTAATACAAAACAGGACTGCACTGCTCCCTTGTGGAAGAATCCGGATAAACCTTGACTGAAAAGAATAATGAAACTATATGAAAGCTTTTCAGTGGTAATAACTTAACGTTATATAGTCCAATCGTGTGAAATTAGTATCTATGACTATTCCCCACATGGGTTTATCTTTTTATTGCAAAAACATGAAGCCACATAAAAACCTAACCACTTTGTATGTTAAATACCACAAAAGTGACTATCCCTCTCTCTCTCCATAGATAGATAGATAGATGGATGGATAGATGGATGGATGGATGGATGGATGGATGGATGGATGGATGGATGGATGGATGGATAGATAGATAGATAGATAGATAGATAGATAGATAGATAGATAGATAGATAGATAGATAGATAGATAGATAGATAGATAGATAGATAGATAGATAGATAGATAGATGGATGTGTGGTGGTTAACACTGTTGCCTCACACAGTTTGACTCCACCATCTCCACTGAGGTATTTCAGTAGTTGTATTTCTTGTTCCACTAGCCCACTTCTCATGAGTTTGTCTTGGTTTCCCAGCATCTGATGTGGACTTTAGTAAACCAGGTCACATCCAAGTTGGTATAAGTGTCACGTTTTGCATATGTGTCATGCTCCAGATCTAGCCTGGGGACCCTTCCTGGACACATGCTGATAGGGACATATATACACTCACTGATCACCTTATTAGGTACACTTTGATGGTGACTGGACTGGCTGGACTGTCTTGGACCTCATATCCTTCAGAACTCTCTTATTTTTTCCTCTCAGAGGTTCATTATTATTGCAGGATCTCTGTGTTACAATATAAAGCTTTGGATAATTTTAGCCATTCTCCTCTGACCCCTGGCATCAGCTAAGCATATTTGCACAGGCGACTGCTGCTCACTGGATATTTTCTCTTTTTTAGATAATTCTTTGTAAACCCTAGAGACGGTTGTGTAGGAAAATCCCAGTAAGAGTTTCTGAAATACTCATAAAATCCCGTCTGGCAACCATGCCACATTCAAAGTCACTTAAATCACATTTTTTCCCTAGTCTGATGCTCAGTTTTAACTCCAGGAGTCCATCTTGACTCTAAGGATGTATATATGGCCATTCTGAGACACAGCAAAGGAGTTGGCAAAAATGCTGGAGACCGTGATGAGGTTAATTTTACTTTGTATTTATTATTGCTTTTTATCTTAATTCTTTTTCACTCATTTTGTTTTGAAAAGTGTCCCATTATGCACTAATGTTTTTTTTTCTCATGCTCAAGTGCATGCAGGTCTTGGGGTCATGATATTTTTCATCAAGAAAAACCTTTTTAATCGCTAAACTCGCGCCTTCTCGGAAATATTTATTAGGCATTATTGAAATACCAGTAATACTTTTACATTAGTCAAACCTGCTATAAAAATGAGGATCTACCGCCCTCCTCTGGCAATAACGATCCCACATAAATTACATCATGGTTCCTGATGATTTCCACTAATAGGAAATATCGGGTCATGATGACTGGCACCAATCAAAGACTAGCAGGGACCCTCTGTTGTTTTACTGGAAGTGAGTGACGTGGCAGTGATGCTGTGAATGATTAATTTAGAAAGAGAGAGAAGAAGAAAAAAAAGATGTGGGCTCACACCATATGTGAAGCATTTATTATTCTGTGTTAAATGGGGAAATGCCAGTCTGTTCATATAGCCCGTAACCAGCTTGCAGCTATACAGCAATTAAAGACCCAGCAGTGTTACTGACTGCAGGCCTGTGTGCTGTTAAGCTGCCATTAACATCAAAAAGGACTAATGGCTTATGTCTAAATACTGACCTTGAATTGAAAACACAGCATCAAAGACTTTTTACTCTTTACAAAACTCTGGCTTTAAATGCAAAATATTGAGCCAATTAATAATTCACTTTTTTATGTGGAGCCTTTTGCTCTTATGTATAGCCTTACTAAATTATAGGCATACTTGATATTTCAGAGGCTTTTTTTGGAGGGAGCTACTTGCAGTGACTACAGCACCGGCCTGGTATGACAGCTAGAACAGCCTGCCACAGACTGGACAAGAAGCC